GGCTTGAATCCGAAAGGAAACTTAGTAAAAGTATTTTACAGGACCGTTTGCTGGCACAACTAGCCCTTGGTAGTGAGGTCTGCTCCGGCCAGGAGAACCAGCAACATGACAGTGCGGACACGGCTCGCGAGCCCAGAAGCCCGACTTGCACCAATGCCTCCTCCGCCAGCTCAGGTGACGCGGGCTCAACATGGGATCTGCGCTCCCGTAGATCTACGTGACGAGGTGTAGTCGGCTTTGTCGGCCGCCATTTTATTATTATCGGAGAGCATTGTGCCGCTCCTCACCCAAGGCCAAGGCAATGCGGCTGCTGCCGCCACTACGCCAGGCCAAGCCCTTGTAACCCACCCGATCAGCCACCTGCACCAGCTGTGCCCAAGGCTGTGCAAGAACGTATCTTGCGAGGGGAGTTCGTAGCTCTTTCAAGTTGGTTGCCTGAAATTCTTGCACACTTCCGGCCCAACATTCCGGCTGGTGCACAGCCCGAATAACGATAGCCAGCTAAATATCGTTGAGTCGGATGACCGTACGCGAAGCAGGTGCGTCGCAAGGTTCACGATAATTATACATGTAACTACCCGGCTCGAGGCATGGACCACATACATGTCTGTTATCACGGCTGCTGCCCTACACCGCACTGCTGAACGGCTGAACTGATTGCGTACCAGCAGTCGATCCTGACTGCTAACCGCCAGTTCTTCCCAAGCGCGTGGCTAGAGTACGACCGCCAGCTGCGGCTGCTCGTGGCCCAGTAACCAGGCACGAAGAGGTTGGACACCATCGACGTGAACCTATGGCTGATAGCTGTCACAGGCCATGCACACCCAAAATGCGCTCAATGTAAGACGGCCCATCCAGGGGCGGTTTGTGTCCTTTTCGTCCCCAAGCCAGCAGCATTTACCTCCAGTGGTCGCAACCATACCAGCGACAGCCAAGAAATCTGCCGCAACTTCAATGGAGGTCGCTGTTCTTCGTCGTCGTGCCGCTTCTCCCACACCTGCAGCCAGTGTGGCAAGGACCACCCATGCATCATGTGCAACCAGCAGCAGCGCGGAGCCAATCGGCCACCCCGCCGCTCCTAGCAGAATGGCTACTGAATAGCTTGACTCGGTACGTAGCTTCTTTCCTATACACTCTGCAGACACCACACTGCTAGCTGACCACTTTGCCCGCCTGTTACGTAACCACTCATATCAATAATGCGTTGCGTATGTTCTCCATGGGCTGCGCCGTGGCTTTACTCTTGGATCTGCCGGCCAACACGACATTTCGGTTTTCTCTAATAATCTACCCTTGGCTTTCACTCACTCGGCATTTATATCCGAGCAATTAGCTGCTTCCTGCGCCCGCAGCGAGACCACAGGCCCATTTCCGTCACCTCCATTTCAGTTCATGCGCCGCTCTGGTATTGGTGCCATCCCCAAAAAGAACGGCAAGCTGCGAATGATCCACCATCTGTCTAGTCCGGAAGGCACCGGCGCGAACGACAGCATTCCACTCATATCAATAATGCGTTGCGTATGTTCTCCATGGGCTGCGCCGTGGCTTTACTCTTGGATCTGCCGGCCAACACGACATTTCGGTTTTCTCTAATAATCTACCCTTGGCTTTCACTCACTCGGCATTTATATCCGAGCAATTAGCTGCTTCCTGCGCCCGCAGCGAGACCACAGGCCCATTTCCGTCACCTCCATTTCAGTTCATGCGCCGCTCTGGTATTGGTGCCATCCCCAAAAAGAACGGCAAGCTGCGAATGATCCACCATCTGTCTAGTCCGGAAGGCACCGGCGCGAACGACAGCATTCCTGCCGAGCCGCTCTCTCTGCACTACGCGAGCATTGACAACGCGATCAACATCATCATGTCATGCCCACAGCCTGTGTATTTGTCCAAGCTCGATGTACGCAGTGCATTTCGGCAGATCCCAGTCCGCCGTCAGGACTTCGCTGGGAAGGCTCCTACTACTACGAGCGCTTTCTGCCTTTCGGCCTCCGCTCCAGCCCAGCCGTCTTTGACTCAGTAGCCACAGCAGTCAACTGGATCATGCAGCACGAGTTTGCTATAGATCACCGGCTTCATTACCTCGATGACTTTCTCGATATCTCCACTGGTTTGGCTGCAGCCAACCAGCAACTCACCACCCCCCCCTCCGGGCATTCACGTATCTCGGCACTCCTCTTTGCTCCATCCCAGCTCGAGGGCCATCACCATCATTGACCTTGGTATTTTCCTAGACTGCGGCTACCAGAGGACAAGCTGTCCGAGATCCGTGCGCCACTCATGGCTACTATCAGCGAGCGCAGCATCGGCCAGCGTCAACTCGAGTCCCTCCTGGGGAAGCTCACTTTTGCTGCCCGAGTCATCGTTCCTGGACACACATTCATGCGTGAACTATGATCAGCGTGCCCTGAACTGTATCTGTGTATGCGAGTGCGGTGCATAAAGCCCACCTTGAGAATGGGTTTGCCGGCCCCTTAGTAGATGCGTGGCTTCTGGAGAGGGTGTTGAAGGGCATCCAGCGATGCCATGGTACGGCTGTACTCACCCCTCGCCTTCCTATAACTATGCCAATCCTACGACACCTGACGGATGCACGCCGGAAAAGTAGTACCCTGAATGGCCATGACAAGCTGCTCTACCAAGCCGCCATGCTGCTTCTTTGGATTTCTTCGGTGTGCTGAATTCACTAATGGCATCACACGGGGCTGTACTAGCTCCCCTGGTGACGGACGCTTGCAACTCTTCCTGCTTTCATCCAAGACGGACCCATTCGGTAAAGGCGTTACTAGTGACATTGGCCCGTCTGTATCGCCGTACTGCCCGGTCCGTGCCATTGTTAGCTACCCATTTGTCACTCGTCGCGAGGGACCAGAGCAACTCTTGTTCGTACTCTCGAACAGACAGCAGCTGACCAGGCAGTCATTCACAGTAACAGTATGGTCCCTTGTCGCTGCGGCCGGTGTACCATCCCAGTCGAACTACTCCGGGCATTCGGTCTACATTGGTGCAGCCACCACCGCTGCTATGGCTAGTGCCCCGACTCCTTCTTCCGAGTGGCAGGTCAGTGGAAAGAGCGATGCGTGTCTATGCTACATCCGGACTACAACAAGCGCTAAGCGCCAGCTATCGTCCCGGCTTGCTGCCGTGCCATGGATGCCATGATCCCCAACTCGGGTGAGTAATGAGCTACTGAACTCTAGCTGCGCAATGCTTGCCTGTGCTGACATAAATTGACCCTTGCTGTGCGTCAATAGTGCTTAGCTAACGGAGTGCTGGTTTCATGGGTCCACTCTCACAACTGGTGTTATCTAGCTATTTGCTGCGGCTCTGCCTTGCGCTATATTACATCCATTTAGCATTGCAGCTCTACGTTGAGCTAACAGCAGCTCTACTTTGAGCTAACAGCAGCTCTACTTTGAGCTAACAGCAGCTCTACTTTGAGCTAACAGCAGCTCTACTTTGAGCTAACCGCAGCTCTACTTTGAGCTAACAGCAGCTCTACTTTGAGCTAACCGCAGCTCTACTTTGAGCTAACCGCAGCTCTACTTTGAGCTAACAGCAGCTCTACTTTGAGCTAACAGCAGCTCTACCTTGAGCTAACAGCAGCTCTACTTTGAGCTAACAGCAGCTCTACTTTGAGCTATCAGCAGCTCTACTTTGAGCTAACCGCAGCTCTACTTTGAGCTAACAGCAGCTCTACTTTGAGCTAACCGCAGCTCTACTTTGAGCTAACAGCAGCTCTACTTTGAGCTAACAGCAGCTCTGCTCTGAGCTAACACCAGCTCTACTTTGAGCTTCAAACCAGTTGTTTCGAAACCAGCACTCCTCAATCCAAAGATGCCTCTTTGTTGACTTGTTTGTGTGAGGGATGGGGCTAATGGTGTACTAGCTGTGCTAGTGCTTGTTAGCAACAATCCGAACTAGCGCACACACTGCACTTCTTTGTACTGCATTCAAGACTGACGTCATGCGCTTTGTTTTGCTGCGTAATCACAAATGGCACCAGCCCATTTTGCGGAAAAGAAAAACAAATCTTGCTTGCCCTGTTGTGCTCTTCCAGACAACGGATCGTGCTTCAGCAGTGTTTCTTTTCCCACCATCCCTCCCTATCCAACTTATTCACACCATCATAATTATCGTACCCACTAATCGGGTCCACTCTCACAACTGGTGTTATCTAGCTATTTGCTGCGGCTCTGCCTTGCGCTATATTACACCCATTTAGCATTGCAGCTCTACGTTGAGCTAACAGCAGCTCTACTTTGAGCTAACAGCAGCTCTACTTTGAGCTAACAGCAGCTCTACTTTGAGCTAACAGCAGCTCTACTTTGAGCTAACAGCAGCTCTACTTTGAGCTAACAGCAGCTCTACTTTGAGCTAACCGCAGCTCTACTTTGAGCTAACCGCAGCTCTACTTTGAGCTAACAGCAGCTCTACTTTGAGCTAACAGCAGCTCTACCTTGAGCTAACAGCAGCTCTACTTTGAGCTAACCGCAGCTCTACTTTGAGCTATCAGCAGCTCTACTTTGAGCTAACCGCAGCTCTACTTTGAGCTAACAGCAGCTCTACTTTGAGCTAACCGCAGCTCTACTTTGAGCTAACAGCAGCTCTACTTTGAGCTAACAGCAGCTCTGCTCTGAGCTAACACCAGCTCTACTTTGAGCTTCAAACCAGTTGTTTCGAAACCAGCACTCCTCAATCCAAAGATGCCTCTTTGTTGACTTGTTTGTGTGAGGGATGGGGCTAATGACCACCAGTAGGTGCGCGCGCGTATGTGTGCGTGTGTCTACGTGTCTGTGTACTAGTATGTGTGTGTCTGTGTGTATGTATGTACATGTATGTGTGAGCACGCAAGCTCACCAGCATGTGCGTGAAGGCATCGGTATAGGCCAACCGGTTGTTCGTCACTCCGATACAGCGATGAGAAATCCTTGACGTCCACCAGTAGCATAAGTACGAGAAGTACTCCCGTATGGGTTCCAGTTCTCCTTGGTGAACACTTGGTCAGTGTGCAAGCTTTGCGTTCTCTCCAGACCAGAGGCGTCAATCCACCGATCCAGGCTTGGTTGTCTACCGTTGTATTGCTCTAAGCTAGGTGTCCAGCTTCACAACTCGGCCATTCATTATTGCCGGTAAGCACACTTTAGCCATCATCTCCCCCGATCAGATCCTCAATAGACGCAGACTCCACTGTAGCAATCCATTATTTTTAAACTTACATCTTCACAACACTCTCCAAGCGGTCTCTACGCTACATCCTCAGGATGGGCCTTGTCCGAACATTCGGATCGTATTATTCTTTTTCAGTGATCTGTGTAGCCCGAAGACCGGTTGGAGAGTGTTGTTAGGATGTATGGACAGATACTCAGCCTGGTTAACCAGTTATACCATTCTTCTCTGTATTGTTTGCTACTAATCTGCTTGTGTAAGATCATTGAATACAATGCATCTTGTAGGAAGCCCAGCAGAGGTGAATGATAAGGCATGTTACTTTTTCAGGTGGTTCGAACGAAATACAGGAATTGTGTGTTGCTACCAACGTGTGAACCCGTGCATTTCCTGCCGACTTTTAGTTCACATTTTGACGGACTCACGACTGCCATCCAGGCAGAGAAGACGAGAATTTGCCACTCAGAAAACCTGCAAGAAAGCACCACTCCCTGCTCAATGCACCATGTTTCGGTGAATTCATCCCTCATTAGTTGAGCTCAATTAGGCTAATGAAATTTATGCCCCGAAAGCAGTGCTTTATGTAGTGTTCTCTGAGCCAAAAACATCGCCAGGGAAACCAAAATACAATGAAGATCAGTTTCCGGCACGCCCAACACCTCGTAAACTCCAGACGGCAGTGTTAGCAGGGTGAGACGAGTCCGGGTCATCCATGGCGATGCAGACCAAGCACTGAGCACCGTTGGCGTTCACAACGCGGTTGCCTCCCGAGCGTCTTGTCGAATACTCACGCTGGGACAACCGCACCAATGTTACGGCACGGTTCCAGGCACTCTGGACCGTGGTGCCCCTTCGCGGATAAAGCTCGACAATAAATTTAATTGGCAGATTCTGCTCGAAAAGCAGTGAAACTGGCAAAACCACACTGTGGCATACACACCTTATGGCAGGCGCTTCCTTGACTTCTGCTCCATTTCTTTATCCATATACCAAACCTGAATGAAACATACCAGAAAGAGTACCACATTCCCCCAATTTTTTGCCGGTCCGCCCAGGGCTAGTTCATGGCAACCTGAGCAAACTCTTCGGGTACAAAAGTGAAGCAACAGCAAAAGAGCCCCTGCAAATAACATTAGCCTCGTGGGACAACAAGAATACACAGAGACGGGACGATTCAAAGAGCTAAAAACCATGGGACAACAAGACAAAGGGGAGTAGGGGCTAGCCCTTGGTGGATAATTCTGGAAAAGAGAAATTGGCAGAAACACACAAAACCGTATGGCGGACGATTACTCGAATGCTGCTCCATTTCTTTATCCAAAATAGCACACATGCATGAAACGTACTTCAAAGTACCAGGAAAGTACCAAATCAGCCTGCCAATACTTCCGCAGGCATTTATCCGCTAAGGACTAGTAAGGGCAAATGTGGTTGCAGGGTAGGCCTTGACAGATTATGCTAATATTGTCGTGAAATTATGCTTTTCGCATTGCTGAAAAAATTGCAGAATTATGCTATTATTATGCGAAAAGTTATCATATTATGCGGCATTATGCTCACATATGCTGCTAATGTATAATAATGATGGTTCTGTGCAAAATAAAAGGTGAATTTTTTTGTAGAGGGCGTTGTACTGTAGTAGCAAAAGTTCAACGGGGTCAACGCACCGTCCGACCTAGCTATGACCGTCACCCTGGTCACTGATTGTAGTGGACTGGACATGTTATCAAGGGAGTAGTAAACCTACGCCTTCCTGGTGTGTCTACTTGTGTAGTATCCCTGCCCGACCAATACGGAAGCAGTACGGAACTAATACGGAGCTTTGCCTGACGTATATTTAGTGTATCTCCGTATGTAAGCGTGCGGCGTCTGCTGCATATAAGCGGCTGAGCATTTCTGTTTTGATGAAGAGAAGATTAGATTAGATTGGATAGCAATGAAAGCTAACTCGAAGAATAAGGATTCAGCCTCTAGGTGAGCACCGGAGAGAAAGTCAGTTATTTTGCCGCTTCTTCTTTCACGAACGATTATATCTCAGGTGTGTACCTGAAAGTAGAATAAAAGTAATTATTGTTGATTTCACCGCGCCTACCACTCGGCTAACCATTACATTGGTGGCAGCGGTGTGTTTTAGAACAACGTGATTCGACCCCAGACTACCATGGCGATTCTAAGCGACCTGCTACCTTCATGAATACTACCGGTGGTGATGGCGAAGCTGATGAGGACGACAACAGGCAGGCTGCTGCCCAAGACAAGGAGGGTATTCCCTAAGACCACCAGCGTTTGATTTTCGCCGGCACGCAGTCGGAAGCAGGAGCCCACTCTTCACTTGGTACTTCGTCTCCGTGATGGGATGCAGATTTTCGTCAACACTCTTCCTGGCTAGACCATCACTCTTTACGTCGCGCAAAGCGATGCTATCGACAATGTGAAGACCACGATTCAAGACCAGGAGGGAGGTCAATCAGGTTATTTGTCTGACGCCGAGCTAGCCGCTCTGAGTGACCGGCTCAACGAAGATGAAGATAAAACCTTGCTCGCTCTCCGCCGTAGCTCCAGCCGCCGCCGTGGTTACTAACGCTGATTCCAGGTATGGCATTTTCTTTCCTGTCTTCCTTCAGTCTCCCTGTTCTCTTCAGTCTTCCTTTATGCGAGTGTGTGAATCCAGTTTAGTTTGGTAGGCGTCTGATCATGGTGAGCCACGGCTTACCCAGCTAACGTGGGACAATGTGTGTGACAACGCCCCTTATAGTTATAGTGTATTCAGTTCGGTTTTTGAACTGCGATGTTCCTGGCGGGTTGTGCCAGCGTGCAGCAAGAGTGCTGTGGTTTCAGGTCCTATTTGGAGGACAGTTCTTTCCCTTTTGACCCCGTGAGATCGTGTGAACCTGGTGTGCTTTTTACTTCTATTTTATGATTTGTTATCAGTTCATTTCTTCTGTCTACTCTAAACGTTATCATTTCCGATATAATTTGCCATCTTCCGGTTGACGCTGTGTTCGTAACTCTTCACTAATTTTTTTGAAAATCACGAGGGCGTGATTATCTGTAGGAAGGGAGGGTGTAGTATCCCTGCCCGACCAATACGGAAGCAGTACGGAACTAATACGGAGCTTTGCCTGACGTATATTTAGTGTATCTCCGTATGTAAGCGTGCGGCGTCTGCTGCATATAAGCGGCTGAGCATTTCTGTTTTGATGAAGAGAAGATTAGATTAGATTGGATAGCAATGAAAGCTAACTCGAAGAATAAGGATTCAGCCTCTAGGTGAGCACCGGAGAGAAAGTCAGTTATTTTGCCGCTTCTTCTTTCACGAATATCTCAGGTGTGTACCTGAAAGTAGAATAAAAGTAATTATTGTTGATTTCACCGCGCCTACCACTCGGCTAACCATTACATTGTGGTGGCAGCGGTGGGATTCGAACCCACGCCTCCGGAGTCCCCGGAGGCGTGGGTTCGAATCCCACCGCTGCCACCAATGTAATGGTGTAGTACCAGTAACGATTCTATTTTAGCGCATGGTTTCCATTTCTCGTTGTCTTATCTTGTCATCCCGTTCGAATATGCCAAGTAAACTAAAATATTTTTTTGAATGGATCTAGTGCTTCAAGTATTATCTTGGCTGCGACCCAAAAGGAACTTGAAAGGTGTAGCTTGGCACAGGGGCAGCCTGCAAACGAGACAAATGTGATGTTTTGAGTATAACACTATGTACATAAAGGAAGTGTAAAGGTAGGCCTACTGCAGTAAAGACTTGTTGCAACGTAGATAACTGTGATTCGGATCCACGGAACAGGAGTCCGACGACCATCATGACATGGATAGCCCTTGGCGGATTATGCCGGCATAATATTTGGCACAATCTTGGGATTTCGTCAAAAAATTATGCTCCGGCATAATAATACGGATTCCAACGTGTAAGGTCGGCATAATCTTTCGGTTTAGACAAAAAAAATACAGCTTTGTCAGAAATCCTGCAGATGTTTTTTAAATACCCCAGTTACGACTCCTTGTCATAGCCCTTGGCGGATTATGCCGGCATAATATTTGGCATAATCTTGGGATTTCGTCAAAAAGTTATGCTCCGGCATAATATACGGATTCCAACGTGTAAGGTCGGCATAATCTTTCGGTTTGACAAAAATTATGCTTAGGGCATGGCCGTGTGTGTATGCGTGGTTTCTCAATCCTCTATGTACATGTACATGTACAGCGTGAATACATAGTGGAACCGAGCATAATTCAGCATAATTCAGCATATTTGTAATCAAAAGCAAAATTTGACGATTGGCCGAGTATAGTCCGCCAATGGCTAGACATGGAAGAACGAGGGTCCATTATTGCAACAATTATAGGATCTTAGAGTGTCATTCTCGATCTTGCGCTAACAATGTAACATTCCTTGTATTTGTATCTTCAAAGTGTGCTGAAAACACACATCTTCAAAGTGTGCTGAATACACACATCTTCAAAGTGTGCTGAATACACACATCTTCAAAGTGTAGGCCTTGACGGATTATGCTAATATTTTCGTGAAATTATGCTTTTCGCAATGCTGAAAAAATTGCCGAATTATGCTATTTTTATGCTAAAAGTTATCAAATTATGCCGCATTATGCTGCACATTTGCGACGAAACACCACAGCACTAGCCAACTTGGTTTCGCAAAAAAACATGCATGACGACTAGCGCAAGAGCTGTTTTTGTAGAGGGCGTTGTACTGAGTAGCAAAAGTTCAACGGGGTCAACGCACCGTCCGACCTAGCTACGACCGTCACTGATTGTAGTGGACTGGACATGTTATCAAGGGAGTCGTAAACCTACGACTTCCTGGTGCATCTACTTGTACTTGTAGGACATGTGCAACTGTATGGAATTTGATGCGAACAGGCGGATTATTCCAATTTATGCGATTCGTATGCAATTTATTATTATTTATTGCAACATCTCAAGACTCGGCGGAAACACCGGCCAATATTACGAGAGTGGGTGAATTTGCCTCGAACTATGCGATTATTCGATTTTGGTAGGAATTATGCGAAAAATTATGCTAGCATAATCCGTCGAGGCCTATCAAAGTGTGCTGAATACACACATCTTCAACATGTGCTGAATACACACATCTTCAAAGTGTGCTGAATACACACATCTTCAAAGTGTGCTGAATACACACATCTTCGTGTGCAAACAATCTTCTTTCCCACACTGGACCACAGCACAGTACAGTACAGTACAGCCCTCTGCCGCATTTCCGGGCCGTTATGGCGTTAGAACAGACTGGCACTTGAAAGTCTGTACTACAGTCTACATGCAGTAGAAAAAAGCTCTTCTGCGAAGGACGACCACTCCATGTCACCAAAGCTACCGCCGCCGAGCTTTCCTGTTAGTGATCGAGTATGCCAGACATGTAGTGATGTACCAAGGGGGCGTTTGAATTGTCTTCATCAACTATTCGAAACTTTTTTTTAAAGGGGAAGTATACCCTAAAATCAAATTTTCACCAGTTGTAGTCTTCTGGGTGCTGAGTCGAATTGTCGTGGTCCGAGGAAGCTGCGACGCTCCCTTCCTACTTGAATCCCAATCGAACTCGCGCACTTCCACCGAAACTGGGTGACTGCGCCCTACTAGATGGGGATTTGTATGCAAAATGTCACTAAAAGCGCCATTTCGTTCTTATAAAAGCACGGATGACCGCGATTGGCCCATATGTTGTAGTCTTTTGGACGCTGAGTCGACTGGTTTTGGTCCGAAAAGGCTGCGATGCAGCGTTCCTCCTTTATTCCCAATCGAACATGGTTGAACAAGCGGTCACGTGCTCCTGCGTACACCAGTCACCTGGTCACCGTGCCTGCAGGGTACAACTTACTAAACTGTTTGACCTTTTTTGGGTGCAGTCCTGTCACTCGAGTTGAACTCGAGTTGAACCTTGGTGTGAAAGTTGTCGCCTGCTGGCGCGGTGACCAGGTGATTTGGGCACCCAGGAGCACGTGACCGCTTGTTCAACCATGTTCGATTGGGAATAAAGGAGGAACGCTGCATCGCAGCCTTTTCGGACCAAAACCAGTCGACTCAGCGTCCAAAAGACTACAACATATGGGCCAATCGCGGTCATCCGTGCTTTTATAAGAACGAAATGGCGCTTTTAGTGACATTTTGCATACAAATCCCCATCTAGTAGGGCGCAGTCACCCAGTTTCGGTGGAAGTGCGCGAGTTCGATTGGGATTCAAGTAGGAAGGGAGCGTCGCAGCTTCCTCGGACCAAGACCATTCGACTCAGCACCCAGAAGACTACAACTGGTGAAAATTTGATTTTAGGGTATACTTCCCCTTTAAAGAGATTAGTTGAAGTGTCCGGACGGTTTCTATCATTTTACTATTTTTTAGAGTTTTTCAGTGGAATTGTCATGGCAATAGTGACGTCAGATCATATCGACCATCTCGACGTCCAAACTCTTCGAAACTAAGGCCGCGTTCGAATTCTCTTCATCAACATCAACTGTTCAAACAAATTTTTAAAAATGTCCCATTACTACCGGTTTCCTTCATTTTTAGAGTTTTTCGTGGAATTGTTATGGCGATGATGACCTCCGATTAGATCGACCATCTCCACGTACTAGATCTAGGTGACGTAGCTATTCCAAACTCTTCGGAACTAATCCACCTGCTCCCATCGGGTGAGGTTGTGGAGTTTCGAGGAGCTTCGTTTTTCTGAAGCGGCCGCCACCTCTTCAGAAAAACGAATTTCCTCGAAAAGTCAAAGAGTAGCAATTCGAACGCGCCCTAATCCACCTCTCCCATCGGATGAGGTTGTGGAGTTTCGAGGAGTTTCGTTTTTCTGAAGAGGCCAATAAGGCCACCTCTTCAGAAAACGAAACTCCTCGAAAAGTCAAAGAGTGACAATTCGAACGCGCCCCAAGTCATAGCGCTTTTGAAGTTCAGTTTTGAATACAATCATGTACATGTATCATTGACATTTGTAGGGTAGTAGATCTACTAGTACTAGTAGGGGTCGTAAAACGCTTTTAGTTTTACGACTCCCTGGTTTTGACTTCTTTCTTTCGAAGTAGAGCGCTGCCGACATGTCGCGCAGAACTATAGCGAGCAACTGTATCTATCTACGTGAGAGGTTCAAACACTAGAGCTGAAGTGAATATTTCCAATAAATTGTCAGTAGAGCTGAGCTTAGTCGGTTCCCAGTAATGATAAGCGGGTGGTGGGTATCTGCTCGGGTCGGAGCATGATAAAAAATGGTTCTTTCTGACAAGAACCGGAGTCCGGCATCGCGTGATGAGCAGCCCAAAATGGTATCTCCTGGTATAAATGAAAAGGGGCGGTTGATCTTTGCAGAACTGAGGTTAGTACAATGTTTCGGTGGTGTTACTCAGCTTCCCGCTAGTGAGGCAAAGGCTGTCGAAAACCTGTGACTCTTGAGTGTGTGTAGGCAGAAGCTCAGACGCGTACACTCAGTACAGGTCACCAGGCCCAAGCCAGGGTCAGGTCTGATCGGACGGCAGAGTGCTGGGTGTAGATCAAGATCTACATGTAGGTGTACATGATGTACTTGAACTTACTTTGAAGTGCATGTCATGGCCATCAATCTCTTTCACGAGGGATTTCAGGACTTTGTACCAGATGTAATGGCCATGAACAGGGGCGTCGGAAGGTATTTTAGTGTGGTACGGTCAGGCATCTGAAGTACAATGTACTCGTGGGGGAGTGGTGGCTGAGCCGGGAATTTTGGAATTTTAGATCCCAGATCAGTGTATTTTGTTGATTCACGGGGTATCTGCGGCAAAAAGTGGTACGGTCAATGCCGTAGTGACCGTACCGTGTGCAACGCCCCTGATCAATCTCTTTCATGAGGGATTTGCAGGACTTTGTACCAGATGAATACACTTATGTGGCTTACAGAAAAACCAAGAGGGGCACTGAGTTTGGGCTTTGACGGAATGAGGATAAAGACACATTCCATTATTATGGGTGTACATGTACATGACTACAATCATGTACATGTACACATTCATGGACATGTAGCTCATGCCCTGATTGGAAAGCCCTATTGACTTTGTCCTGAAAGTGCAAAGCTCTTTAATCCCACCAGACCATTGTCAGTCCGGAAATATGGGACGGATAGAAAGACCACTTCATCATTAGAACCTAATTTGAAATTTCTGGTATTTTGAAGCATTTTGCACAACAACACATCCTAGCATTTTACTGGTACCGTTGTATTTCAAACTCAATATTGTTGTTTTGTCTTCAGGTGACTAAGTAGTGATTTCTGGAGTTATCAGGCAGGTCAAATAGGGTGGCTGGGATTTTTCTAAAGGATTCTTGGCTGCCATTAATGCGTATATGCTGTTGGGCTACTGCCAGTCCTGTGAACGTTTAACTAGCTTTCCGTACATTTATGTTTTGTTTGTTTTTGTTTGGTTTTTACAATGATCACATGTAGAGGCGCCGGTTCGATACCGGAACGGTTTGACAGCTAAATTGTGAAGACCCAAACCGATCATCAGCGTGGATTGTTCACTCGACACATGTTTGTGGAAGGAAGCTGGCATGTTGAAGTTTGCTTTGAGGCCAGAGTCGATCGATCTGAGCCACTCCTTTGTGTTGGCCCGTTGCCTCCAAGTTGCCCTCAATTTTTGGTGTTTACAGAGGTGGCTCCAAACTGGAAAGGTTTTGGAGTGCACGTCAAGTTCACTCCGGGTTCTGAAATTCGGTAATTGCTATGGCTCCACCACGGCCAGTACAGAGCACCAATAAGCCTTGTGTGTGCTTCCATTAGTTTTCATGGGGGTATTATGGTGCTTTATTGGCGAGAGGCGAGCCGCTGTTTACCGGCGACAAGAAGTTGATTTTTCGAAAGACATAAAACTCAAGTCGCAGTGGGAAGCAACACGTCAAAAACTCAAATGCTTGGTATGGCGCTTCTGGTCATCGCAGAGCCATGGGATTTTGGCGCTGAGTAAAACACATCGTAGTCTCACTGTGACATACGTTTTCTTATCAAAATACCAAGAGAGAAAGTGAATATTGAGACCGTTCCGGTTTGCAACCTATTTCCTATTTGAAACCGTCTACTCTTCCAGTATATGGAGGAATTGCCCAGGCATTTCACAGTTTTAGTTACGGTTGCATGTGTGCACGTGCACAGATGCTCCGCTTGAATTCGGCATCATTGCGTAATGATTACACAATGCACACCTTCATGAAATAAGCCAAAACAATCAGAAATGATGAGGATGGAAATGAACGCAAAGCTAAGCACGAATTTGTTTTCAACATATTTTACCGAATACCATGGGGCGAATATTGCTTACACCCAACAACAGCGGACAGTGATGAATGCGTAGATAAGTTGAATGTAGTCTGTACATGTACTGTTCTGTATTTTAAACTATTTTTGTAAATATTCTGTTGTGTGTGCACATGCATGTTTGTGTCTATCTGTGTGTGCGCATTTACACATGTGCGGTTTTATGCGTATGCACGTGTGCTTTGAAAAACGTGTGCTTTGAAAAATCGCGTACAGATTGCTGACGATTTGCCACAATGCAGGCCGTGAACTGCCAAACACTGTCATGGCTCCTCTCCGTAATAGCACTCGTCCAGAGCCAAGAACAGCCAACACTACCAGGTCAGGTTAAGGCATTCCTGAAAGCCTTGTGAACTTTTTGTTTGAACCAATGATTTGGGTGGTTGTACATATACTGGTAATGTGTGTTTTAGGGTGAGTTTCATTTAATTATATATTTGTGTGTGGGGATGGGGTCATGAAGTGAGTGATCATACACCCAAAACTGTAGCTTTGCTAACCCTAGACGTATAGGGTATCTTTTCACTCGCCGAGTTAAGCAAAATTTGGAATATTGGAAAAATCGTGCGTAGCCACAGACAGAGTGCGGGTGTGTGCACTGTAATTCACGATGCCAATGGAGATACGCCACACACATTGCACTGCAGATGTAGGTTGCATTAAGAAGGGCATCAACACAGGAGCACCCTTCGCTGCATCATCATTAATTTTGTTTGTTTGTTTGCTGTGTTGCCGACCCTGATGCTCACATGACCAGTCTTCTGTCCTGACACCCTGCAACTGGAGAATGGTATAACACTGTTGGGTGCAGTGAGCAATCCGGGAGATCTGGTGAGTTATACCTGCGGAAAGGACATTATTTCCATGTGAATTCAAAGTTTCACATGCATACACAGTCAACACTGCTATTAACCACTCTCGATGGTGCATGATGTAAGTGTCGTTATTGGTGAGGTTGAAAGCATGCTCTCAAAATAGTCACCAGGTCTGAAGATTGTGCAGTCAAATTCGAAAGTTGTTGTTGTACCCGAGGTCGTTATGCACGATGTTGACTGTACTCGTTTTGTCATTGCCTCAATTATGGGTTCGGAATTTCCAAAGATTGAGTAGGCTGAGAATTTTGTAATCCTTCAAAAGGCTAAGACCGCTCGGGTAGTGACACCAACACTGCTGCCACTGCCACCACCACCACCACCAAAAACAACAAACACAACGAATTATAAACATACTTTGTGCTTTGGCATTATCATGTTATGATATTTCCTTCTCTCATAATATTATATTCGTTCTTAGCAGGAACTGGAGGTTTTTCGTCTGGTGAGAAAGCAGAATTGCCTGTGCTCTAAACAAATGCAAATAAAAGAAACAAACAAACAAACAAGAACACCAGTGCCAGCATCAGCAACAGACAGGCAACAAACAGGCAACAGTGACAAAAACAACAACAACAACAACAACAACAACAACAACAACAACAACAACAACAACAACAACAACAACAACAACAACAACAACAACAACAACAGTAGCAGCAGCAGCAGCAGCAACAACAACAACAACAACAACAACAACAACAACAACAACAACAACAACAACAACAACAAAAACAACAACACCACAACAACAACAACAACAACAACGACGGCGACGACGACGACAACAACAACAACAACAACAACACTGTAACTGAAATAGACTTTGTCTTCAAACGTTTCGCCTCTGGTCTAGTATCAGTCGAACAAGTAAAAGGCGGAAATTCCGAGAGAAGGCATGTTTCAAGTTGCAGCCTCGGAGTCTTTGAGGTAGTGGTGGTGGTGGTAGGATTTCAGCTGTGTGCTGGCCTCATCAGGCCAGCACACAGCTGACAAAGTATCTTGTGTATGAAGTATGTAAATAATCGTCATGGAGACAGCAGTTTAAAAATTGCAAGAAAAAGAACTGATGAATGTGACTTGAAAATTGATTTTGGAAACCTTCATGACTTCTTTGTTGTGCGGTCATGACGGATGAATTTGTTCTTTTATTGCTTAAAAAAAAGAGGGTGTGAAGTACCTTTCCTTTTCTTAATGGGATGCATATTCCCACTGAAGCCACTACAGGTCAGTTTGGTGTCCTGACAAAATAATTGTACATGTTACGCGTACATGTGACATGGAAAACAATACAGTGGAATCTGTCGGAGGCAACCGCCCAAGGGACCTTCAATATGTGCTCGCCGTGTACAGGTGGCGCACTTATCCAGGTTCACATTAGTGGAACTGGAAAAGATACTACAGTACTACATGTAGTTGGTCCTGGTTGTAGTGGTCCTCTGGGATAGGTGGTCCTCTGGGATAGGTGGTCCTCTGGGATAGGTGGTCCTCTGGGATAGGTGGTCCTCTGGGATAGGTGGTCCTCTGGGATAGGTGGTCCTCTGGGATAGGTGGTCCTCTGGGATAGGTGGTCCTCTGGGATAGGTGGTCCTCTGGGATAGGTGGTCCTCTGGGATAGGTGGTCCTCTGGGATAGGTGGTCCTCTGGGATAGGTGGTCCTCTGGGATAGGTGGTCCTCTGGGATAGGTGGTCGCCTTATCAGAGCGGTCGCTTCGACAGTTTTTACCGTAGTTGCATCACATGTTTTCATAGCAAAGTAGGTATACGGTCACTGGGCGTTGCCTGTATTCCTCATGGAGTGGAAAGCAATTTCTCGAGCTTTAATGATTGTGGTATGCAGTGGGCTGGAGCACATGGTACTGTCCTGCCCGAGGGTTTTTTTAAACCGTCATAGCAATTAAAGCAACATCATTTACAGGGGCCTGACCCTGGCCTGGTTTCACACGATAGTACACTGCAGATTTTTCGAAGTAGCATGAGGGGAAATGATCAACCCGGTTTGCCGCACACTTCAGGATGCCCTCTGTTTCCCTGTGTGAAGGCTGTCGGTCTAGGTGGAATGGGTATGTAACGTGAACTATGCCCTCTGTTTCCCTGTAATGCTGCCACTGGTCTAGGTGGAATGGGTGTGTAACGCGAACTACGACATGATTGGCGATAACACAGCGCAGTGTCAGCTTGACGGCACCTGGTCACAGCCGATACCAGAGTGTAGACGTAAGGTTGAAGACAATGTATTGCGACTACAGTGTGTGGGGTGTGTGTGGGGGGGGGGGGTATGGGTGTACTTCAAGTACTGTTGGTGTTATTCACACTGCACACCTATTGGAGAGACACAAATTCTGCTTATCGTAGTGTCTCAATATCGAGCTTCAACATTTGCATATCTCCCTTTTCAAGTCTTGTATCCATTAGTTTGACGGAGATGAAAACGGATTTGTACACCAGCATTATCCGCATGGATGTAGAACAGAACTTCGTATAGAGCTTGAAAATGATGACTTCAGAAGTCACTATCATATCAATTGATGACTTCTGGGTAAACTTTGATCGACTCTGCCCACAGTGAAGTGCAGTATGTAGTGGTCATGTCCCTCGTGCCACACAAAGTTGAAGAATTTGTTCTGTACCAGGAGTGGGTCCCTGACGGGAGGGGAGGGTGGGGGCCCGGTGTAGTCAGTACCAGTGGATGTGTCACCCTGCTGTGAAGGAACACCACCCATGTGTCACCCTGCTGTGAAGCCGGAACACCACCCAAACGTGTAGGCATCCATGCAAAAACTGGATTCAAGTGGATCCGAAAGTCGGCGTTGTCGTGACTCTGGACTGGCTGTGGCGTCGCACTTTCAAGCCCTAACAGTTGCACCGAGCGCTCGGGTATGCCAATGACACAATCATTAGTAAAGAAGAGAAGAAAAAGAGAGGAAGCGATATGGATAGGGGTAACACCTGCACATGGATAGAGTCGGCGAGTAGGCAAATGAGCAAGTCATGATTTGACAGATGGGGTGCGGGAGGGGTGCGGGAAGAGGGCGGCGGCATGAGCATGGTTGTGTAAGCCGCATGCATGTGCATTGAGCATGACTACACTTTCCGTTTGTACCGTTTGTGTTTTCTTTTCAGCTTTTCAATGCCCACAACCAGTGATGATTCCCGATGGAATTGTTATCGTAGCCGAAAGGCCAGTTGTTGGTGACAGGGTAAGATTCTGTTTGGAAACATGTGCCACAATTTTCTACTGATAATTACTTCTCAAACCTTGATAGTACACATCAAGTTATTGTAGAAGTTGTAAATGACAGTGTGTACTCAATACCGGAACACAAAATATTTGCTATGTACATGTATCTTCATGACAGCAATCAGCAGGCTGCTGTTTCGAGCTGCGTTTGAGCTTGCTCAGGTCACGCCAGTAGAACATGGCTGTTCCCAATTTAAATAATCGCTTGATTTTTCGTGAATATTATTCGTCCCTGGAGCGATTTAGCCCCATTTTAGTCCCTGGGCAGTATTTCCAGGTGAGCATTCTGTCATGAGCATTTCAGTGCGACACAAATAAGCGCAGCACGCAACGGCGCCATTCATCCTAGTGCATCTTTTAACTTATCCCCATCACGCGGCAGCTAAGTGCATTTGTTAACTACTTGGCACCATTCTTCTCAGCGCGACAATCAGCTTTCTACGCCTACATTATCAGCAGCTACCCACGATTGATGTCCTGGACCAGAGCGTGCACTTCCATGGCGCATCATCAAAAAGTCGATATAGTGACCCTCTTTCAGGTCATCTAAGTTTCTGAAAACGTCGTAAGCTAAAGGGGAGCGATAGCTCAGCAGAGGATAGCTGGCAATATTGAACACTGTGTATTGCTAATATCTCCATCAAGCTATAATTTATTCTAGTCACTTGGACCGAAACCAGTCCCCTCGCCATTCTCATGTCCATTTTCCACCTCACAATCCTCATACAAGTACATGCAAAACGTGGCACATCACTGGCATTCTGCCAATAAGAATTACGAGAACACAACATCCAAGGCGCCCAGATGGTGATGAAGACGGGTACAGGCAAATCAGTGATGCACAACACCTGGTGGACCTGGTGCTAATGTTCACAATGTTTCAAGAGGCGGGGTGGTACTTTGCTGCATTGAGATGGCTTGTCACGGCTAACTACCTGGGTGTAGGCACATGCCTGTACAGTGATGTGCCTGGTGTTCTACCGCTCTGCACAGCGATGAATCATGCACTATAATATAGGGTGCATGACGCTGAAATGAATTCACACACCGTGGGGTGCATGACACAGAGAACCTTGTACTGAAGTGCTGGCGCTGAAAGGCTCGCACTGAAATGGGACATTGTCGAAGTCGCGTGTACTCCATCTTGCCGTGACTGTTCTGACAGGCGACATATGAATGTGATTCGGGATTCGAGATCGGGACCGGCGGACCTGATATTTTCTGTCAGCTGCGTGGACGGGAGACCTTTTGGCCAAACCCTCCAATATGCGAGAGTAAGATTAAGCATAGCCTGGCCTAGCGTAGCTGAGGGTTAATTTGAGCTGTAGTAAACTTACGATGATGCATTCCACGTGCATGCTACTAGCATCCTGCATCCCAGATGTGTCCTTTCACAATTAATGCATCTCTATTTGGTAGTTTCTATTTCAGCATAGGAAATTACAGCAAGTGCTCCTCTTGCATCCAGCCATCCTTGCCTTCAACCCCACAGTCATCTGATTGACTGCCGGAGTGTTTCATAGAAGAAAACTATTAAAAAAAGACATGGAGGAGGTCTGTATGGGTTCAGCAGCAGCAACGTCTGCAATGGATGACAGTAGTAAGCTCCTTCGAGCCTCCTCTCTTCCACAAACACGGCAGGTTTCGTAGCCGCACTTTACAAAAATGCAATCCTGTAAATGGACATTTTGTCGCCATGCAATGCAACATAAGAAATACCTGACGCTGGTCCATGGTTGTCATTCCACACTGTGTGCTGGCAGATATTAATGAGTGCCTAAGTTCTCCCTCGGCATCTCCGTGTCGCAATGGAGGAACATGCACCGATTTGATCAGCACCTACACTTGCGAATGCCCGGGTGAATGGACCGGACAGAACTGTGAAATTCGTAAGACTTCCATGTGTGCAATTTGATGGGATACACAATTACTTCACATTGCAGTGATTTTCTACATTCCATTGTACAGTATTCCTGTTGGCCCCTCTTGTTAGCCCCTCATCATTCCCTATACAAACGAGTCAACAAAACTAACCAGGCTACCCGTGGCGAGATATTACATTAACTATTACTTATTACGTTCCAAAGCGTAAATTTTATAAACGTACAGGACAGGTCCATCCCCCTCCCACCCGACTCTCGCATACCCACCAGACTGGGCCACACACATGCACAGACACGTGCACGTGCACCTCCCCCCCCCCCCCCCCACACACACACACAAACAGTCTCCTTGTTCAAAATCATGCTGCCTCACTGATAACATGTACATCTACACACCATTATGTGCCCATCACGGTATTTTTCAATCTCTTCAGCACGTATATGCTCAAGACCCCCGCCAGTGGAAAATGCAAGGACTATCTTCAACCCGCTACTCATCGTAGTTGGTGGCAAAGTAAGGTCTGAGCTGCCTTTCCAGCGGGTATATCTTCATAGTTGATTTCACCTGAATTGCTGGATTTTGCTGGATTTTGCATGTAAAACACCTGATGATTTGGAGTTCATGGAATGAATCGAGAATTCTACACCGAAAACTCAGGTTTAGGTGGTTCACCAGCGCACTGAAAGCAGGGATTTTATGGATAGATTTGGCAAAAGGTACTGTATATTTGTGTTGCTCCCTTTGGGACAGCTTGCGCTTTTCCTACCGTCTTTCCCTTTCACTTGACGGGCTCACAACTGACATCCAGAGCACACGAGAAGTGCATTGAACTTTCCACTCTGCAAGCCTGCAAGAAAGCAACACTCCTTGCTCAGTAACCAATGTTTGGAGGATCTCTCCCCCTCATCTGTTGAGCTCGAATAGGCTACTGAAGTATGTACTGCAGGAGCACTACAATATTAGAACTCAGTTCCAGCAGCCCAAACACCACTAGGCATGCCAATGTACAATGAGGCTCCATTTCTAGTACGACACGCTCCTTGCCTTGCCGGAACTCCTCACACCAGTGTGAGTCAGTGTCGCCCATAGAGGTGCTGAACAAGCACTGATGATTGTTGGCCGTTCACAACGATTGTTGCCTCCTAACCATCTGTTACGAATTTGTATTACGACTATGATTTACGCATGTCGTTGTATTTGGTTCTTGTCTTGTGGAGTCCAGTGTCTGATGTCATATATGGTCTAGGTGTACGCGCGAGTATGGTGTGATGTGTGACGTTTATGGTATGTGGTGCATGCAAGAGTACGCGTTGTCAGAGTGTGAGGATGTGCTTCCGTCTGTGTGAGAGTAACTGTCAAGTGAATGCTGTACATGCGCAGTGCTAGTTTGGTCTGGGAATGAGAGTCGTGTGTGATTCGTCCGTGGTCTGGTTGTCTTGACTCTTGGTCTTGGTCATGTGTTCTGTACGTATTAGTCCCTGATTGGTCGTCACGATTTGTCCTCGGTTTATTACTGCTTGTTCTTTGTTGATCCTCCGAGTCTTTTCCCGGGAGTCTTCCCGTTGTCCTTTTTGTCCCTTCACCAAGTTTGTCTCTCTCTTCCTGCGCCCTCGTCATTTCTTGGTATAATAATATTATAAGTATTGAAGATACAATCAAGAGTTTGCGTTGTTGTGTGGCGGGGGCCAGGGGGAGAAGCCTACTTCACATCTAATTACAAGCCCGCGCTGGGGAGACGGATAAGCGACTTCTGTGATAGCAGAGAAGCTTTGTGCTAGTATTTACAAGGCAACTCACACATCAACAGTCCTCAGCGCTTGTTTAGCACCTCCATAGGGGACCCCGGCTCAAGCTCCTGTATGGAGTTGGCAAAGTATTTGTCGCGCTGGAAAGAGGGCCTGAGCCTCACTACAAGCTGTTATCTCTAGCGATGTTTGGGCTCTTGGCATTCTATAATAACATTGCAGTGGTCCTGTTGCACAACTCCTGATTAGCCTACGTTTAAGCTCAGCCATGAGATGAGGTTAAGCTCAGCCATGAGATGAGGAGTGAACTCTCACAACAATGTGTATTGGAGAGGGAGTGGTGCTTTCTACCTGGTTTGCGGAGTGAAAATTTCCATTTGATTTCTTGTGCGCTCTGTGAATGGTGGCCGCGAGTCAGTTACGTGGCAGGCCAAGTCAGCAGGAGGTGTGTAAGCTCGCTTTCAGGTAGGGAGCAACACGCACTTGTTCTAATATTGCCGAAATCACTGCCACTGATTCTAAACATACATGTACTGTGGTGCTTCAAGTAATTATTCTACTTGAGTAAATCATTCTGAATCAGTGATGCACAGGTAAGTCTATGGCTGACACACACGTTATTCCTTCTCCATTATCCACCTTCACCCGGAAGATCTCTACAGAAATTGCAATGTGATTTGGCATGTTTGCGCCGTACTTGCACAGGCGAGCTGCAGGGGAGCTATGAGTGTGTGGCTGGTGCAATGTGATTTGGCATGTTTGCGCCGTACTTGCACAGGGGAGCTGCAGGGGCGCTGCAGGGGAGCTATGAGTGTGTGGCTGGTGCAATGTGATTTGGCATGTGTGTATTGTACTTGTACAGGCGAGCTATGAGTGTGTCGCTGGCTATGAGCTGGAACAGATAGACAACACCATTACCTGTTTGCTTCTGGAGAACGGTGAAACATCCTGGTCTCGACCGCTTCCCTCCTGCCGAGGTATGACGGTCTATCTGGTGCATGCACCAGCACTGGTAGCACTGGTTTTGTGTTCATCATTCAATCTTGCTTCTTTGTTCAGAAAACACAATGTAGGCATTTAGCCAGGGTTGCAGCCAGGGTTGTAGCCAGGGTTATAGGCAGGGTTATAGCCAGGGTTAGATCGAGGGGTCTAGGCAGGGTTGCAGGCAGGGATTATCGGATATGGCCAGGATTATAGCCAGGATTTAGGCAGGGTTCTAGGCAGGGTTGTACTCGTAGGTAGGGCTATAGCTAGGGTTATAACTGGGATTATAGGCGGAGTTATAGCCAGGGTTATAACCAGGGTTGTAGCCAGGGTTGTCAACAGGGTTTATCGGAGTAGCCAGGGTTATAGCCAGGATTATATCCAGGGTTTTTGGCGGGGTTGCAGGCAGGATCATAGCTATCTTAATTCAATTGTAGCCGGGCTATAATGTGCACAATTGTACAAATTGTACTTTAGTGCCTACACACCAACTATACAAAGATTGTAAACTGGTCTGTGGGTACTTGCATTGTGTCGAGTGCATCACTGTACTAGCCTTTTCTGCCGTGTGGTCCGCATTGAAGCCAGCACACATTGGCCATGGGTGCATTTGATTACCGGTGTGCTGTTGTATTCCTGTTCCGTGACAGAGATTGATGAGTGTGCTCTCCATCCTTGTCTCCATGGAGGAACGTGCCACGACTTTCTCAATGCACACAACTGCACCTGTCCGTTTAGCTACGAAGGTACTCACTGCGAGATCGGTAAGGTCGCTGTGTGTACCGTGTGTGTGGGGGGGGGGGGAGGGGGGGGGGGGGGGGAGGGGGTTTGCATGCGTTTATGTGTGTGTGTGTGTGTGTGTGTGTGTGTGTGTGTGTGTGTGTGTGTGTGTGTGTGTGTGTGTGTGTGTGTGTGTGTGTGTGTTTGCCAACCTGTCGGAAGGCTACCCTCCTGCCAAAACATTTTGGAAGTTGGACTAGTTTCGGCTCCACAATCCAGTGTGTCGTTGCTACCGGTATATAGCTTTCATGGCTGAGATTGTTGGTACGCTCGTTGGCCCTGGGTTCCCAGTACTGTACCCAGTAGCCGAGGCTGGTTGGTAAAATAACTCCAATTTCACTTCAAGGTACCAGTGCATCTAATGTCTGCTTTTATCAAAGCAGCGTTATGTCTATACTGTTTACCTAAGCAAGTGTAGGGTGTGCATAGGTAACTGTCTTCGGCCGTCCTATTCCGATGTACTCCGTGTGGTGTAGACCTGGTGTGCATGGGGGGGGGGGGGGTCGATTCACATGGCTTCGCCAGTTGTGTGGATTATACAGTTATCTGGCGCTTGTCTTGATCTGTTTCAATCAGAATCAGATCCGCTATCGTTGCTATAAAGAGAAAATCTATGGGTGCACATCCAGTGCATTCGCAGATTTGCGTGCTTCTCTCGCGACTGGCGTATACATCGTACATGGTGTGTGCGTGCGTGTGTGTGTGTGTGCATGCGCGCACGTGTGCGAATATGTGTATGTGCATGTACATTATAGGCATGGGTGTACATTCATGTTTATACGTGTGTATATACTTGTTGTATGTGCATTTGTGTGCACGTGCACGCATGTGGGTGCCATTACTTCATAGCTTTGTCCAGGCACGGCAACTTACAGTGGTGTGAACACTGAATTGCTTTCACCCTGAACTTGAACTATGTGACGACTAACCCATAGTCCAGCAATGGGCAAGGGTGGCTATACTTGATATGGTGTAGCATCGGACAAGTGGGCTTGTACAACACAACAAAGTACAAGATGAATAGATTGCATTGCACGCATCACGCATTGCAGCCACTTGCACCGCACACAGAAACTCTCTCACAGCCGGGAGCGACTGAGCAGATCCAGCAGCTCCATATTCCACTGAACACAAAGTCCGTGTCGGAAATCGATATCTCGAAGCTCCGCTAACGTGTCACAGCCTGGGTGCATGTTTTATGCATTCACACATGTACTGTATTGTCAGTATATGCCCTTAGATGATTGGTGTCTGTGTGTCTAAGCGTGCTCAAATCATGTGCATGTACGTGGCACTAGTTGCAATGGGGCCATGGTAGAGTTCTAGCACACAATCCTGGTTCCTGACACAGAAATTATTTGCAAACGTGAATATCTCAGCTATCTCAATATGGAAAGTTTTAAGCCTCAATTTCGTCTCTGATTCAAACCATTTGCATGTACTGTCGTGGACATTCAAATCCGATTGCATGACCGTGGCCGGTGCCTTTACTGCTTTTTAGCTCAGTGCAATGCACTTTACGTACACACTGTAGAAATAGACCAGCAGTGCTCACGGCTGCAAGGTCAGCACCCCATGGCTGCTTGACTTGTCAACGGATTTTAATATCCACAACAGTACTTCAGGATCATTCCACATAACGTTACCCATCACGCCATAATCTTCTTTCATGGAACTTCACTGCACACCACTGACACCAGCAACAATACCCAAAGCTTAGAATAACATGTACATGTGTAGTTGTAGTATCGCCACTTTGAACAAGTCCAAATAATACTCTACCAAAATTCACCCATACTAAAATGTAATTCTTTGTTGCCATCTTCAATAGGTCCGTCAAATAGTAGTAATAGGTTTTTCGTTTGACCCGACGCGACCACACGACGCTTGCAGACCACACGAAACGAAACAACGAACGAAACAAGACTTGTCAGGAGTAATACTACTTGCTTTCGTGGAGTGTGGCTGGTGAACTGTTCGTGCTGTGGTCTGCAAGCGTCGTGTGGTCTCGTCGGGTCAAATGAAAAACCTGTTCATACTAAATGTAGTAGTTAGTCATGTGTGATGTTGCAGCTGGCCGGACCAGTTGAAATCTGCTGCTGCCTATGACACTGTACCATCACACTATTCACAGTCTCAGCAGTTTCCTAGCTGCAAAAATCTGAGTTTTGCTTTTTCTTCACTATAAAAATGCCATATCTCTGGCTAATAGAGTTTCACGAAGACTGGGGCATTGTTCTCTCTGGTCTGCAGAGATTGTGATGGGAAGGAGTGCAGCTGTTCTGATGGGCATGCAGTCTAGGAGAGATGGCAGAGATGAAAATAGATTAGTGGCATTAAAAAATATTTAATGTGTGTTTCTTGGTAATATTGTCCTCATTGCTGTGCGCTATATTATGATGTTTACTTTGCTTGATCACTCAGTTCTCGAATGTGCTGATCCCCCTGAAATCAACAATGGAGGTGTCACGAACCTCGGCATCCCGCCATTTTTGCTGGAAACACAGGTGAGATGGCCAAACCTTATTACCGGTAGCTATATCAGCAAATAATGATTATGTCTCCAAGATCGCTGACATCCATTTCTGAGTAATAAACAATGTACAGACTAAAAGTAGCACAAGACGAACCCTTGGATAAGACAACACTTTTTTTCTGGTCCCAAGGACTGACAACATCTTTCATGTACCTTTCAAATCGGATACTACAAACTCAGATGAACTTTCTGATATGTCAATCCTAACATCGAGACCCAAGCGGTGGATGCTTGGTTCCGATCAATTTTTCAGTTGGCAGTGGCCTTTTCGAACTCCATTCGATAGTTCTTTTTGACAAGGAAACAGCAATGTAAAAACATTCTGACAGAACTTTTTTTCTGGTCCCAAGGACTAACAGCATCTTTGATGTACCTTTCAAATCGGATACTACAAACTCAGATGAACTTTCTGATATGTCAATCCTAACATCGAGTCCCAAGCGGTGGATGCTTGGTTCCGATCAATTTTTCAGTTGGCAGTGGCCTTTTCGAACTCCATTCGATAGTTCTTTTTGACAAGGAAACAGCAATGTAAAAACATTCTGACAGAACTTTTTTTCTGGTCCCAAGGACTAACAGCATCTTTCATGTACCTTTCAAATCGGATACTACAAACTCAGATGAACTTTCTGATATGTCAATCCTAACATCGAGTCCCAAGCGGTGGATGCTTGGTTCCGATCAATTTTTCAGTTGGCAGTGGCCTTTTCGAACTCCATTCGATAGTTCTTTTTGACAAGGAAACAGCAATGTAAAAACATTCTTCAGCCTCACCTTCCATTCAAGTATGTTCCATTTTTGTTGGGCCTCAGCTGTCATGCCTTGTATCCCCTCAAATGCATGTCCAAAACCGGAACGGACAGCAACAAGAAGAGAGAGAGAGAAATTGAAATGCAACAAAATTTGGCATGCCATTGCAAGTCCTGTGACCTCGAGAACCACCTTTTGCAATGTTCACATTCACGACGACAGTTGTTCCTGGCTGCACGTGACATCCGTTTACCAGTGATGACGGCACAGACACACGCACGCGCGCGCACACACACACACACACACACACACACATCTGTAGTGGAAGGGGTGCCTGAGTGCAAAATTTCCAATTTAGGCTTTTCTGGGAAGGTCCATTACAACTGTGCAGGGATTTGTGCAACTCTTGCATAAAGGATCTTGAAGTGCTAGACCCATATTCTCAAAGGTACAAAAGCTGCTTGTACCTGCCGTATATCAGACATCGCTTCCATAAACGGGTGGCACCTGATTTTGATGCATACCCACCACTACGTTAGCCGACAAAAGTATCTGAGCACCTGTCCCCATGAGTTCCCTGTTTTCTTTGTCGTTCATGCTACAGGTGCACTACGAATGTGCTGATGGCTTCAGGAGGTTCGGAGAATCCAATCTTACGTGCGTACGGATTCGTGACAGGCAACCTGAATGGTCCAACTCACCACCACTATGCAGAGGTATATGATAGGGACGTAGCTGGCCCCCCTTTTAGGGGGTGCGCGGCCGCATATGTGTAGGATGGCTGGTGCACGTCATCCATGGTCATTATGTGCATGCTGAACCTATAAATATTTGTAGGTCAAAAATTTTAGGGGGTGCACATGCTCCCCACCCCCCCCCCCCCCTCCTCCTCCCCCCCCCCCCCCCCCCCCCCCCCCCGTGCTCCACGCGGACTACGCGCCTGTATATGAGTATGGTTGGAAGACCGTAGAAAGCCGAGTTACCACCCAGGGCTACATGCTGTTACTTTGAAGTCATTCAACTTTCAGACTGCGATCATAGTGGGGCCGAGCCGCAAGCATAACGTGCTCCGAGATGCAGTGGGGGGGGGGGGAGGGGTCTGAGGGACGAAACAAACACACTGATCAGGCAGCTTTCTTTACGATCTATAGTTCTGTGGGAAAGGAGCAGACTGGTCTTGATCCGAGGAGGCTGTGATGAATGCCTTGTCAGATATTCCCAAGAGAAGACATAACAATGTGGAAGTTGGTCACCAGGAAGCAACTTAGATTGCAGTTTTGGAGAAAACAAAGCTAAATGTACGTGTTGGAAACGACGTCATTGCCAAGACGATCTGTCAAGTATTCTCTTATCGAGTTTCAATGAACTTAGCATGGCTAGCCACGCATTGTTGGTTCTTCCTCCTACACTGTATAATTGTGTTGGTCTTATTATGTGTGCTACAGAAATAAACGAGTGTGCACCTAGGCCCTGTCTCAACGGTGGAACGTGCCTAGACCAAGTCAACAACTACACGTGCATTTGTCTGTTCAGCTACACAGGAGTGAACTGTGAAACCGGTAAATCTACTCTACACTAGTCCTTGTAGTTAGTTTTGGTTCATGTCTGTCTCCAAGGTACAATGAACTGGTGGATGGTGGAACAGACCTTCCCCCTAACCAGGGTAGCTATTACTTCGGCCAGGTACTGATTTTGAGACATGACGCTGCATGTCTGCTGCATGCGCCAAATTTGGTCAGCCGTGTTCTGAAACGGGTCGGATGGCACTGGGTTGTTGTATTTCATACCTTGATCGGTTGCCTTAATGAAGTACCTGTAAAATACACCAGGAACAGCGGATAAGGATTTTGGTGTAAACTCTTCAAATCTGACAATGTATTGACCTCGTATGTATCCACTATTTAAACCATGAAACTCTGTGTAACAAAAAGTCCTGCTTTCCTTTCTGTACCTCAAGTGTAACGTTGTGGACATTATTTTGGTTGTTGTTGTGGTTTCAAATCTTTATTCTCACGATAGAGTTCTTGTTGTTGTTGTTGTTGTTGTTGTTGTTGTTGTTGTTGTTGTTGTTGTTGTTGTTGTTGTTGTTGTTGTTGTTGTTGTTGTTGTTGTTGTTGTTGTTGTTGTTGTTGTTGTTGTTGTTGTTGTTGTTGTTGTTGTTGTTTTTGTTGTGGTAGTGGTTGTCGTGGTCGTTGTTGTTGTCGTTGTTGTTGTTGTTGTTGTTGTTGTTGTTGTTGTTGTTGTTGTTGTTGTTGTTATTGTTGTTGTTTTCTACGTGCAGTTCTGGAATGTTCTCCTCCTCCAACCATTGATAATGGTGTTGTGACGAGTCCTGAACGTCCAATTCTGCTCGGTTCATCTGTAAGCATCACATCAAGCTGACTAATGCTGGTTATACATCAAGCATGTACATGTACATGCAACGGGAGCTAGGATCTTCCTACCAGATGCCACTTGAAAATGTTGAAAGTTTTGAAAAACATTGAAAATGTGATAATCATCATACCTGACAACCATATCTATTTGGCCGGTGCCGTCCCGATACCGAGGATGGTAATAGGCATCCAAAACTGGCATTAGTCGCATGCCGCCTCACAGCTACATTTGTGTACATTCTCATACCTAGGTGTGTCATTGTTCCGATCTCAGATTTGCAACGGTTGGTAGGTAGGAATCAACATGCTACCGCACACTGATTGATAGTTGTTGTCTGGTTGTGCTTTCCCAGGCAAGCTACGAGTGTGATGCGGGCTTCAGTCTTGCAGGGCGATCTGATATCCCATGCATTCTGGTTGGTATCTCACCGGAATGGCTATACCCACCGCCAGAATGCAATGGTAGGTAACAAATGTATACAAGCTGGGTGAATCAGATTCCGCCGTGTGAGAGAGATCCTTCACTGTTTAGTTTGATGAAGACGCCGTGTCTGCTCCAGAGCCGGGTCAGCCGGGTCAGCAACCCAGCTGGGGGTACTTGGACCCATTTGGAAAAAGAACACCGGGTCACTTGTGAGGGTCACCTGCGACCCGGTTGGGATTACTTGAAGCACATATCAACCATGGAGTCCTAAAATGTTTACCACTCCCTAATGCAGTACCTGCACTTGAACGCACCCGGCTCTGACCCGGTTGCAAGAGTTGTGCTAGGTGCACGCGCACCCGGTTGGTTTGAAATCCTAGAGCAGACACCGAGAAGGTGTATGAGTTGAGTCGGATGCTGCCGAAAAGCAGCTACCTGATCATTGTTGATACCGACACCGTAGTAAGACTGTTAACCTGCATTGCATTCAACTCAGGCACAAAGCTGGCTTGCTGGAAGCGAGAGACTGAACTTTCACAGTAGAAACCCTTTCCTGCGCATGCAGATATCAATCATTTGCTTACCTCCCTACCCTCTTGTTGTATTAGGACATACCATAACTATCGGCAAAGGTATCTTGTTGAGCGCATCCATTCCTCCCAAAAGATAAATCTGCAAGATGCCTCAAGATGTCGATAACTATGCACTACTGCCATGTCCTTGTGATGTGGGCTGGACGTGATGTGCGTGTTTGTCTGTCTGTGTGTGTGTGTGTGTGTGTGTGTTACAGACATAAACGAGTGTGAACCTAATCCTTGCCTCAACGGAGGACAGTGTCAAGATCTAGTCAATGACTTTGTGTGTCGCTGTCCACCTGGCTACACAGGAAAGAACTGTGGAACTGGTAATGACTAGCATAACATGTCATGTGACTGTTGTCATGGACACAGCTAACGAATTGCTATATAGAGAATGAAGCATTTTAATATCATTTATTAGTTATTTCCTGAACCTAAACCTTCCTCCAAGTTTCTTTCGAGGCCGAAACATCATGATTACATCTGTAGTCTCACACAATAGAGAGGCTCCGGGGAACGATGTTCCGTACTGAAATCCATAGAGGCACTAGAGGTGTCCTTCGTACGATTTTCCAGCACAGAGAATCCGTGTGGACTGGCTTTCGTACGAACTATATTTCGTATGGAGATGTTGCGTCATCAAGTGCAGAAAGATTTTTCGCGCATAATTTTGATACGAGAAACATAGATTTCCCACGGGAAGATTTGATTTTGGTACAAATTTCAAATAAAAATGGCATATTAAAGGGGAAGTTAAGGCAAAAATTAAAATTTCACCAGTTGTAGTCTTCGGGGTGCTGAGTCGAATGGTCTTGGTCCGAGGAAGCTGAGACGCTTCCTTCCTACTTGAATCCCAATCGAACTCGCGCACTTCCACCGAAACTGGGTGACTGCGCCCTACTAGATGGGGATTTGTATGCAAAATGTCACTAAAAGCGCCATTTCGTTCTTATAAAAGCACGGATGACCGCGATTGGCCCATATGTTGTAGTCTTTTGGACGCTGAGTCGACTGGTTTTGGTCCGAAAAGGCTGCGAAGCAGCGTTCCTCCTTTATTCCCAATCGAACATGGTCGAACAAGTGGTCACGTGCTGCTGCGTACACCAGTCAGCTGGTCACCGTGCCTGCAGGGTACAACTTACTAGCCTGTTTGACCTTTTTTGGGTGCAGTCCTGTCACTCGAGTTGAACTCGAGTTGAACCTTGGTGTGAAAGTTGTCGCCTGCTGGCGTGGTGACCAGGTGATTTGGGCACCCAGGAGCACGTGACCGCTTCTTCAACCATGTTTGATTGGGAATAAAGGAGGAACGCTGCATCGCAGCCTTTTCGGACCAAAACCAGTCGACTCAGCGTCCAAAAGACTACAACATATGGGCCAATCGCGGTCATCCGTGCTTTTACAAGAACGAAATGGCGCTTTTAGTGACATTTTGCATACAAATCCCCATCTAGTAGGGCGCAGTCACCCAGTTTCGGTGGAAGTGCGCGAGTTCGATTGGGATTCAAGTAGGAAGGAAGCGTCTCAGCTTCCTCGGACCAAGACCATTCGACTCAGCACCCCGAAGACTACAACTGGTGAAATTTTAATTTTTGCCTTAACTTCCCCTTTAAAAGTGGCTTGTGAGGCATTACTTTAGGGGCCGTTCGGGGTTACCGATTGTTTTTACAAAACGAAATGTTTTAGTATTTTTCAGCCCCCACCCACCCACCCACCTTCTCTGCAGGTAAAAAAATTCCAATAAAATTTTCATGTCAATTTTCGACACCCAGAAGTAACTGGGCATTCTACAGCTGCATTCAATAATTATTTTCAAAACGAAACTCCATCAAACCCACCCACCGCCAAACGAAAACTTTTCATTTTGAAAATATTATTGGTAACCTTGGACGGCCCCTTACAGGAGGTCCTACCCTATTATGATTGTTTATGGTCGGGCCTGTGTCGCATATTTGTATTGCTTTATGTGTCCTCCTCCTGGCCCGATCCGACTCAGTGGCAAGGACGCAAACCTCAGTGAATGCTGACTCACCAAGCGGCAGTACCTCGCTGCCATAGTGAAGTTGGTAGTGCTCGCCAAGGGCTTTTCCAGACGTCTTGTTGCATGAGTTATCATTGTGTTCCTTGATTCCGCGTTGCCACACTACAGCTAGTCGCTCCAACATATCGGTACTTGTCGGAACATGTGCATGTCAGACGATACGCCATGTTGAGTATTGTGCACTCTGCCTCGCTTGACTGGCATGCAACGCATGCAGCTTTAGGCCTTTCCTCGTCTCCTTGGCGCAGCAGCGCCTCACAGCGCCTCACGGCAGCGAGGTTTGGTGAGGCTGGACTTGGTGACGCTGTTGGAAAGCCTTGCATTCTTGTAGATTATCTGCGCATTTAGGTTTAGAAGGCGGTGGACCTTGTGGTGGATAGCATCAGTTTTGAATGGGAACTTCAATGTGGTTCGATAGTCCTTGTTTTGTTTAGCCGGTTGTCTGGCTCGTTCATGAGCAGTTGCGATAACCTTGTCAGGAAAGTTGTTGAATTTCAAAGTCTAAATAACATTTTGCTCGCTTCGCTGGCGGGCTGCAGGATCAGAGTAAAGCAGGCCGCCCGGAGGAACTCCGACAACGCAATGGCGAGTTTTTGCTGTTGCGGAAAGCACGAGTTGAAATCTGAGACCAGACCACTGTGGCAAGCTTTGTGGAACAGCTCAAATGAGATTGCGCCCCCGGAGGAGACATGAATAGTTGTGTCCATAAAGTCAACCGACCCAGTTTCCTCCGAAGATTGATATATGCTTCAACTTGATGCTCGCATTGACGGTATTGAAGAATGCAATAAGTTGGCGGAGAAGAGCAGCCCCCAGTGTCCACAGTATAATGATGTCATCAATATAGCGCTTGTAGAGTACCGGGGCACCAGGTGCGTTATGCAACAGCGAGTCCAAGGTCATGCATGCAGATAATCGCAAATGGGGGACCGGGTTGTTACCCATGGCGATGCCTAATGCTGCTGCAGGACTCTAGCGACTGCCTCCACCCCTTAAGCGATAGGGATACTTGGGTAGAACGCAACCACATCCATTGTGACGATGATGGTCCCCGCTGGGGCTTGGAGGTCAGGATTCAGTTGCCGGATATCCTCCAGTGCTTTCATCATGTTTTTCAGATGTGCTGGGACATATCTCAGTCACTGGTTGAGTATGCGCTAAAGGACAATAGAAATATTGGTCACCGGGCTATCAACAGCTGACCCAACTGGTCAAAGTGGTACTGTGGCCTTGTGGTCTTTAGGCAGGCAATACATCTCCGGAAACCTGTTGTCAGCGAGGAGTATGGCTTGGTACAGGTCCTTCTCTAGTGTACCTGCACAGACGCGTTGAAGGATGATGCGAGTTTCCTTCTTCCAATCATCGATGGTGACATTGACTGGTGTGAATTTTGTCTCATCCGACGGGATGGTCTCGGCCTTATCAATGTATGTTGCCGTCTTCATCGACACAAACTTATTGCTCTAGTCGGACCTCTTGACAATCACGGAACCATCGTCGCGGAGTTCTGTAACCCGCTCCCGGTTTGCTCGAGACATGCTAGGCTGAGGGGCTGGCGCTGTTCGGTAGATATTCATGACCTCGAGCTTGAAACTGGGCAAACCGAATTCTTCTTCCTTGGACAGCTTGGAATTCGGTTTGGCCAGTTTCAAGAGGAAGGTCATGAATATCTATCAGGAAGAACTGTGGAACTGGTAATAACTCTCATGTCATGTGACTGTTGTCATGTAGACAGCTAATGATTTGCTGTATAGGGCATGAAGCATACTAGTATATTTTTTGTTGTTTCTTTCCTGTAACTGAATGCTGATTGGCACCTTTCTTTTGAGGCCAAAATATCAGTAGCAGGGGCGTTGCACACGGTACGGTCACTACGGTATTGACCGTAACACTATTTGCCCAAAGTACCCCGTGAATCAATAAAATGCAAGGATTTGGACTCTAAATTTCCAAAATGTTCGGCTCAGCCACCCCTGACCCACGAGTAAATTGTACTTCAGATGGCTGACCGTACCACACTAAATTACCTTCCGACACCCCTGAGTAGGTAAACCTCCCTAGTTCCTTGCTAATCTTTTGATGGACGTACGTGTGTGTGTGTGTGTGTGTATGTGTGTGTGTGTGTGTCTGTGTCTGTGTGTCTGTGTCTGTGTCTGTGTCTGTGTGTGTGTGTGTGTGTGTGTGTGTGTGTGTGTTTGTTACAGACATAAACGAGTGTGAACCTAATCCTTGCCTCAACGGAGGACAGTGTCAAGATCTAGTCAATGACTTTGTGTGTCGCTGTCCACCTGGCTACACAGGAAAGAACTGTGAAACTGGTAATGACTAGCATAACATGTCATGTGACTGTTGTCATGGACACAGCTAACGAATTGCTATATAGAGAATGAAGCATTTTAATATCATTTATTAGTTATTTCCTGTACCTAAACCTTCCTCGAAGTTTCTTTCGAGGCCGAAACATCATGATTACATCTGTAGTCTCACACAATAGAGAGGCCCCGGGGTACGATTTTCCGTACTGAAATCCATAGAGGCACTAGAGGTGTCCTTCGCACGATTTTCCAGGACAGAGAATCCGTGTGGACTGGCTTTCGTACGAACTATATATCGTATGGAGATTTTGCGTCATCAAGTGCTGAAAGATTTTTCGCGCATAATTTTGATACGAGAAACATAGATTTCCCACGGGAAGATTTGATCTTGGTACAAATTTCAAATAAAAATGGCATATTAAAAGTGGCTTGTGAGGCATTACTTTAGGGGCCGTTCGGGGTTACCGATTGTTTTTACAAAACGAAATGTTTTAGTATTTTTCAGCCCCCACCCACCCACCCACCTTCTCTGCAGGTAAAAAAATTCCAATAAAATTTTCATGTCAATTTTCGACACCCAGAAGTAACTGGGCATTCTACAGCTGGATTTAATAATTATTTTCAAAACGAAACTCCATCAAACCCACCCACCGCCAAACGAAAACTTTTCGTTTTGAAAATATTATTGGTAACCTTGGACGGCCCCTTACAGGAGGTCCTACCCTATTGTGATTGTTTATGGTCGGGCCTGTGTCGCATATTTGTATTGCTTTATGTATCCTCCTCCTGGCCCGATCCGACTCAGTGGCAAGGACGCAAACCTCAGTGAATGCTGACTCACCAAGCGGCAGTACCTCGCTGCCATAGTGAAGTTGGTAGTGCTCGCCAAGGGCTTTTCCAGACGTCTTGTTGCATGAGTTATCATTGTGTTCCTTGATTCCGCGTTGCCACACTACGGCTAGTCGCTCCAACATATCGGTACTTGTCGGAACATGTGCATGTCAGACGATACGCCATGTTGAGTATTGTGCACTCTGCCTCGCTTGACTGGCATGCAATGCATGCAGCTTTAGGCCTTTCCTCGTCTCCTTGGCGCAGCAGGAATCACCCACTTACGGCAGCGAGGTTTGGTGAGGCTGGACTTGGTGACGCTGTTGGAAAGCCTTGCATTCTTGTAGATTATCTGCGCATTTAGGTTTAGAAGGCGGTGGACCTTGTGGTGGATAGCATCAGTTTTGAATGGGAACTTCAATGTGGTTCGATAAGTCCTTGTTTTGTTTAGCCGGTTGTCTGGCTCGTTCATGAGCAGTTGCGATAACCTTGTCAGGAAAGTTGTTGAATTTCAAAGTCTAAATAACATTTTGCTCACTTCGCTGGCGGGCTGCAGGATCAGAGGAAAGCAGGCCGCCCGGAGGAACTCCGACAACGCAATGGCGAGTTTTTGCTGTTGCGGAAAGCACGAGTTGAAATCTGAGACCAGACCACTGTGGCAAGCTTTGTGGAACAACTCAAATGAGATTGCGCCCCCGGAGGAGACATGAATAGTCGAGTCCATAAAGTCAACCGACTCAGTTTCCTCCGAAGATTGATATATGCTTCAACTTGATGCTCGCATTGACGGTATTGAAGAATGCAATAAGTTGGCGGAGAAGAGCAGCCCCCAGTGTCCACAGTATAATGATGTCATCAATATAGCGCTTGTAGAGTACCGGGGCACCAGGTGCGTTAGGCAACAGCGAGTCCAAGGTCATGCATGCAGATAATCGCAAATGGGGGACCGGGTTGTTACCCATGGCGATGCCTAGTGCTGCTGCAGGACTCTAGCGACTGCCTCCACCCCTTAAGCGATAGGGATACTTGGGTAGAACGCAACCACATCCATTGTGACGATGATGGTCCCCGCTGGGGCTTGGAGGTCAGGATTCAGTTGCCGGATATCCTCCAGTGCTTTCATCATGTTTTTCAGATGTGCTGGGACATATCTCAGTCACTGGTTGAGTATGCGCTAAAGGACAATAGTATAATAATATTGGTCACCGGGCTATCAACAGCTGACCCAATTGGTCAAAGTGGTACTGTGGCCTTGTGGTCTTTAGGCAGGCCATACATCTCCGGAAACCTGTTGTCAGCGGGGAGTATGGCTTGGTACAGGTCCTTCTCTAGTGTACCTGCACAGACGCGTTGAAGGATGATGCGAGTTTCCTTCTCCCAATCATCGATGGTGACATTGACGGGTGTGAATTTTGTCTCATCCGACAGGATGGTCTCGGCCTTATCAAGGTATGTTGCCGTCTTCATCGACACAACCTTATTGCTCTAGTCGGACCTCTTGACGATCACGGAACCATCGTCGCGGAGTTCTGTAACCCGCTCCCGGTTTGCTCGAGACATGCTAGGCTAAGGGTCTGGCGCTGTTCGGTAGATATTCATGACCTCGAGCTTGAAACTGGGCAAACCGAATTCTTCTTCCTTGGACAGCTTGG